TGTTTCTTCCGCTCATCTCTCTCTCTTTGTATCTCTCTCTCTCTCTCTCTCTCTCTCTCTCTCTCTCTCTCTCTCTCTCCCTCTCCCGAGTTGTGTGTGTGTTTGTTGGCATCGACCAAGGTAACCGGCTGCCCAATAAATGTGGTTAGCCTCAGTGCCATTATAATATTATTTTGCTGTTTGCTTGACTGAGCCAGCAGACCTTTCGTCCATCTTGCCCGTCTTGTTTGAGCTCTGGTGCCGGCAGCGGAGTTGTTCTTGAACCCACTCTGCAATACCACTCCCGCAGACAAAACATAGTGTGAGAGCTTCTCCCGTTGCCGCCACCACCCTAGCCTACGTGAACCAATTGTTTCACTCTTTGCAACGTGTCAGAGGGCGTTGTAGTTCGTCCTGCATACGCCACTCTGGTTCTTGGTTGCTAAACCTCCGAGTGGCTGTTCCCGTCCGAAACAACCTTGCGACTACTACTGCTGTCGTTGTTTGGGGCTCAATCTACCCACCCTTGAACCGTCACCCAACACGGCAGGACTCTGGAAGAAAGTCGAGGAAGCGGCAGCGAGGTGGCGGCGACGGCGATCGCACGGGGAAAGGGAAGGGGAAGAGGGGCTGCGACTTCGACAAGGCTTCCTATCGCCGGTAAGTCAAAGGAGTCGGCTAATGGCTCACCTGTTCACCTTGCCCCCATCATGTGCAGCAAGGACTCTTTGGGGTGGAACATGGGGTCCAAAAAGGAGTGGGGGGGGGGATGTACTCAAAGTGTGCATACCGTAGTCGTTAGATCATTGGCCTCGCATCCCTACAAAGCCGGGACGGAGCACGCCGGGTTCTCACCGGACCAGGCTCTCACATCGCCAAGCGCGAAGCGCCGTGAGGTATTCGGCGAGTCGCATGAAGGGTGCGCGGCATCCTGCTAAGGGTGTTCGGCATCTTGTGCTTACTTCCTTGCGTACGGATGACAGCTGCGTATGACTTAATTTACTTTCTGGTGCTTTCACTTCCAGAGACAGTTGTAAGCGCTGTGTACTGCCTCGAGGATGCTTGACCATTTTAACACGTGGTGCGATCATCCCCCTTGCGCGGAGTGAGGGTTCTCGACCCCGCACAACATGATCTACTCGACAACCATTATGGTTGCGGTCCGAAAAGGGGGGCGCGGAAAAAACGCTCCGCTTTAGATTGGCACGGTCACATTTTCGCCGGGAGCGCGCTGGAAACGTGTGTAGATAGTTAGCACCAACCCTGTGCGGGGGCCAATTTGATGGTCCAATTCCTCGGCAGCGGTGCGGTCGCCATGGCCATCGCACCACCACAGAAGGAGCTTGCCGATAGCTTTCCTTGAGATGCATCGTTCGACATCAATGCTCCCCCCCTCCCCTGGCTTTGGCAAATCGGTCTGGACCTTCCCCCGGTGGGCCGGTGCCGTCTCTGTGGCGGAGAAGATTCCCGCGTTTTTGTTGCAGCTCATTCAGCTGGGCGTTGTTGTAGCGCATGAGATGTTGTGATTTGCGGAAGACCCCCTCAGTAGCTCGTGGTCAGATGTATGGAAATCGTATTTGCGAAGTACTGAAGGAACGATTGGCCGTGGGTGATCAGTCCTGTGGGGGATAAGCTTCATCATCTCGGCGAGGACGCGTGGTAAGCGGTCTGACCGCGAAGGCATGCGAAACATGAGAGAGCGAGTATGCCTTCCCCACTTGCACGTGCCGTCGATGCCACACGTGCATTTTGTTGTCCTATATGCATTGTATTGTATTGTGTTCAGGTACATCGACACAGAGGCAGAGGTGGACGAAGACGTCTCAGACGACGACGAGGCCGAGCTGGAGAACGACTACGACAGGTAGGTTGCTGCTGCTCCTTGCGTACAGAACACCGCGTGAACGCGCTTGGTTCTGGAGTGCACCCCTTGCTCGCACGCCAGCGAAACTGATACTTTAGGAACAAGCTCGCAAACGTTGTGAGTGACCCTACTGTCTTAGGAGGGCGAGGACCCGCCGCTTCAACCAAGACGCTTGCTCAATGATGTTGGACTGTCTACGGCGGTGCGGGTGAGGACGGCATGGGTAGATTGACGCCCTCTCCTCCCCCTTTGCTTTGTCTCGCTGCACATTCACATAACTTGCACCCGAAAAAGCACACGTGCGTACGGATGGGGATATACGAGAACTATCCCTCGCATGGGATTTGGTTGGTATCTTCTTCGTTTTTGATGCATACACTGCTGGGTCGGTGCGGTTCTACCCATGTTTCGCGTTTTCTCTTTCTTCGACGCGATGACCTTGAGTTCCACCCCTCCCCCCTCTCTCTCGTGATGCTTTTCGGCGTCATGTGTGCGTTTTCTGCTCTCCAACGCCCGCAGCGAGGATAGCTTCGTCAACGACGGACCGCTATCGTACGTGACGGACTCTTCTCAGGAGGAGGAGGCGGACGAGGAGGAAGAGGAAGACACGCGAGGCGGTGGTCGTGAGGACGGTGGCGAAAGGCACGGGAAGAAGAAACAGAGAGGCCGCAAGGGGCCGAAGTTCGACACCAACGAGGATGAGACGGTAAGGCAGGGAGGGGTTTCGCGATGTACTGCTGCTATGGCTGCGGCGGCGGTGTGGAACGTGAATCGTAGATCCAGCATTTTGATGTCTTGGCGCATGGCGTAGAAACGGTACGCCGGGAGCATGTCCAGTATACGAGCGCACCAGCTCCAAGACCCCACTGCTGAGCTATAGTCCCGCGCCCGCTCTTTTTTTCCTGCAGGCCATGTACCGCCAGCTCTTGCAGCAGTCTCAGCCGCCACCGCCATCGCCGTCTCCCCGTGGAGCCGCCGCTGACGGGTGGGGGCAGCGACAGCAGCACCGGCGGCGAACAGTGAGGAGCGGCTGGCATGTGACCGGAGGTGAGGACGAAGGCGGCGGCGGCGGCGGCGGCGGCGGTAGCAGCCGGGCATCATCCCGCTTCGCCTTCGTGAACGCCGTCATGGCCCACGCGAGGGAAGGTGGAGACCCGTTGGACATCGAGGAAGCCTGCGGCTCGGATGCCGCCAGCGGTTTCACGCAGGAAGGGTACGCGGGGACCCCGGAGTCGACGGCCACGACGACGACGCCGGGGTCGAGGAGAGGAGGAGGAGCGGGATGTCCGGACTGGTCGCCGTGCGATGGGATGTCTTCCGGGGGTTCGGCATCCGACGGGTAAGAGCCGTGACACGTAAATGTTGTGAAATGTAGTGCGGTGAAAGGCTTCACAGACAGATCAAACGCAAGTGTTGGGAAATGGAGTGCGGTGAAGAGGAGGGCTTTACAGATGAAAGCTTCTTGTTCCAGTGGAAGTTGAGTTTCTGACGCGTGGTGAAGACGAGGGGTTTTGCGGAGGAGAGGTTCTTCATCCGGTGGACTTGTACAGGAGGAAGAGGAACCGCCGTGGTCTGGTCCACCTACATTGTTCGTGTTGGTTGGTGCGGGAGGTTCCGATGACAAGAAGTGCCTATTTTCCGGTCCTTAGCGCTCGTTTGATCTCTCTGGTCGCCCATTGGCCATGCGGCGATGTGGTTGTTGCCTCTCCTGCGCTCGCCGTGTGGCTGGCTGACTCCTACTCCCCTCTCAATGCTCTTCCTCTCGAGGACGCATGGTCAGTAGTCTAACCGCTGAGGCATGCCAAACATGTGTACCTCCCCGTCTCCGTCGCTCGCACACCCCACACGACCGCTTTGTTCGTCAATAATGGCTGCTGCGTATGACCATTTCCCTGCCGGTGTATCCCCGTTCCGCTCACTTTCTGACCCTCGGTTTAAGCAGGCGACTCACCGCGTCAGAGCGGGGCGCCGAGCCCATGTACTCCCAGGCGCTGCTGCAAGCACACCCCGGCTCTCCCGCGTCGCCACGAGCGGGGGCGGAGGGTACGGGTGGTCGAGCGCTAACTGCCCCGGTCCACCAATGGGGAAAGGAGAACGTTGCCCCTGCTGGGAGCGCCGCTGCTGCGGCGAAGGCGCCCACGAGTGCTGGGACCGCCGTGAGCTCCTCGAGCGAAAACCGCCGGAGAGTTGGGACAAACACGGTCTTCGCGGCATCAGAAGCAACAGCAACATCAGCCACAGGGGGGAGAGGAGGAGGGGTTGAGGGGGGGGGGTACTCCAGGAGCGGCGGCAAGCAGTCGAACGGTAGCGCCAACGCTCGTGCCACCACCACAAACGGCGCGATCCCCGCGAGTAGCAGCAGCTCATCAACAACCCACCGCGATGCAAGCCGGCCGGTTGTTCAAAACGCGCGGCGCGCTGCCGTCGCCGGCCGTTGGACCTCGACGGCGAACAGCGCAATCGAGAACTCCAAGCAAGCCTCAAGCAGCGGAGCAGAGGTGCCCGGCAAAAAGGGCGGGGCCGGCCCAACGGCGGAGGGCGGGGCGGCCGCCGGTAACGGCGGCGCCAGCCAGGGCGGCGGTGGCACCTCACTGACGGAGCTGCAGCGGCAGAAGATGCTGGAGAATCGCGCGAAGGCCCTAGCCCGCCTCAAAGCGAAGCAGCAAGCGGCGGCGGCGGCGGCGAACGGAGGGGGGACTGGGAATACCGGTGGAAACCATCCCGGCCCGGCAGCAAATAACCGTCTGCTGCCGAGTGACGTCCGACAAGCAGCCGCGGTTGCGTCTACTCCTCCGTCAACGCAGCAGCAGCATCAGCAGATGACGCAAAGCTCGACCCAGCAGCGGAACCGATTCAAGATAACGATGGACATGGATTCGGGTACCGACGACGACTCGGATGCAGAAAGCAGCGGCGGCGGCGGCGGCAGCGGTGGCCGCAGACCTGCGGTCGTTTCCGCTGGGGTTCCCTCGTCGTCGTCCGCTGCCGCCGGTCCTCGACTGTCCCCGTCCTCGCGCGACAAGGAACGCACGGCAGTTGGGAGCGCGAGCGTTTGCGGGACAACTGCGCCCCGGGCATCCCAGCAGAAGAACGCCGCGGCTTCTTCTGGTGCTCCCGCCGCTGCTGCTGCTGCTGCTACTACTGCGGCGCCGGCAAAGTTGTCTTCGCCGCGACCGGCTCCGGTTGCGGTGGTGCCCTTCTCGGCGCCGAGGGCGGCGACGCTCGAGCCCCTCGCGAGGGAGCTCCGCCCCCGGGCGGGGATCGTCCTTCACGCGACCCCCCTGGGCGGCGGCGGCGGCGACGCAGGTCCGGGGCGGGACGTAGACCTGGCGGTGGGCGCGCAGTGCGCCGTGTGCGTGCGGACCCGGAAGCAGTTGCTGTCGCAAACTCATTCGTCGCCGACGTCGCCGTCCCGACGGGAGGGGGCGGCCCCGCCGCCGCTGGTGGCGCTCCTCCGAGCGGCCCTCCAGCGGTACGCGCGCGTGGTGGTAGTGGTGGAAGGGCTGGGGGAAGACGTGGGCGGCAGCGGTGGTGGTGGTGGTGGTGGCGGCGGGGGACCCCGAGAAGCCGTCGGGAAAGTCGAGGCCCTGCGCGGCGCGAGCGTGGTCGCCTGTCGGGGCTGGAGGGACGCGGCGGATAAGGTGGAGGGCCTGGTTCGGCGAGAAGAGAGCGATGGACTCGGGCTGCCCAAGGTGGTGAGTGGAGGGAGGCCTCTTCGATTTATGCTCCTTGCGTTCGCAACGAGTGTTTCGGGGGAAGGCACAATGAGCGGGTCTTGGTTGGGTCGAATTGGGGCGGGGACGAGGAGGAGAAACAGAAGGGAAAGGGGTTTACTCTATCACGCCGTCATCGGTCTGTGGGTGCCGTTTCTCGTGGAATCGCTGCAGCGCAGTTAATGATATTGGGCGCTGCTAGATAGTACTGCGAGGAACAGGGATGTTGGCACTAGCTGGAGTTTCTCCCGCCGAGGTCTCGGTCAATGTCAAAAGTGTCCCGCCTTGTCGTGGTACGGTTCAAAGCACAACATCCAACCCGTGTGCGACACTACAGCAGGCGAGGGAGTGGCGCGCCAGGCCTTCTTCATGGCATAAAACTACCGTATTGAGTATCGATATCCGTCCAGCACGGGATAGGAAAGCGGTGCAAAAGTGTGTACTTCGGACAATCTGTCCCGTTCCCTCCAGCATGTTCAATCTCTCTCTTGCTCGTTCGATTCCCCTACGCAGGTCACGGGACCGTCGCTCACCCCCGCCCAGACCAAGTTTCTGTCGGCTCTGTTGCGAGCGCCGACGTTGTCGTACCCTGGGGGGCTCTTGATGCTTGAGGCTTTCAGGGGCCGGTCCGGAAAAGAAGTCGTCGCAAGGTGAAGTTGTAGGCTTCGTGTGGTATGCATTTTGGTGGTCCTCGTGAACTGTGTGTAGAGGTTGGCGAGAAGGCTGTTTGTCTGGCCGGTGGTGTTGTGCTTCGTTCCGCTTCGCTGCCCTCGCGCGCTCGTGCGTTATACTGTTGGGCACGGAGAAAAGAGCGTGTCTTTGCGAGTCTAGTGTGTGTGTTTTGGGAGTGTGTGTGTAGCAACGTGCACGCGGTTTTGCGAGTTTGTGGCATGTTTTTTGGGGGTCGAGCCTGCTTGCCGGCGTGAGATACTGCTTGCTTCATCAGCATCATGCGACCAAGGTGCAGCACGTAAAACCGACGCAATCGTTCTCTCTCCCCGAAAGCCTGCTGAACTATTTGCTACCTACCACTCCACTCCACCGCCCCCCCCTCGCTTCCTCCGAACCGGGATGTTCTTTCTATTGGATTTCCAGTTCGGCAAGGGAGCTTCAGGCCTCGGTTCCGGGCATGACGGCGCAACAGGCCGCCAAACTCAAGCGTTTTTTGATGAGCGCTGCCTTCAGGGGGCGGGGGTAGAAACGACGCTGCTCTGATGTGTGTGCGTGCTAATTTTTACAAAGGTTCGAATTGCTGTCGAAGGCGATGTTGTGATTTGTTCAATCATGGCGACGGTATGCTAGAGTGCTGGGGAGGAAGAGCGTAGTACCGTGTGACGCGCAGGACCTGGGTGTGTACATTTCCGTGAAGGAAACGGCCCGGGGGGGCGACGCATCGATTTACCTACGAATTGGACGGAACATGTTTGCCCTACGTACGAACACTAAAACTATCGTCACGTGTAGTAGCGCAAGCGCATGCAGCTTGTGGAAATTTTGTTCGAGTTGTGTCTGCTTTTCGTGATGGTCAGGAACAGCGAATATACTGCTGTCTTGAGGGTGGCTTGGAGCCGCACTCAATATGGGTGATGTAATGCCGATTGTGTGTGTTTGAGCGCGTATGCTTGGAGGGGGGCGGGTGGGGTTGTACACCATCTTGCGCAAGAAAAAACTTAAGCAACGGACGGGTGTCCAGTGCGGAACTCCCTCTCTGCTAGTGTTATTCCTTTATCTTTCGTTGACGTCGGTCCGCTACAGGCATGAGATTATTGCTCTTTCCGCACTTTCCCGATCGATGCGATCTGCAACCCTCGCACCTGTGGCCTTGGTACATGACGCAGATTCTCTTCTCGTATAGATCACCGTTCGATTCATCACCCCCAGTGGGACGAAGACTGACACCGTACATAGCCGCCAGCAAACTCATGACAACAACGCTCGCCTTTCCTCTCCTCTCACCGACCATTTTCACGTTCTTTGGGTTCCGTCACCCCCCCCCCCCCCCCCCCCCCCCCCCCCCCCCCCCCCCCCCCCCCCCCC